CAGCCGATCTAATCATACTTACATGATTTAAAAAAATGAAAAAATCGATGACAAGTAGAAAAGCGTAATTTTGAACATACATTTTACCCCCCGAGAAGCTTTTAAATTTTTAAAAGACATTTGGGACCCCCAAGAAGGATTCACATTCTAAAAAAAAAAAAGTTTGGCGCCCCCGAGAAGGTTTTACATAAAAAAAAAACAACTAGGATCCCCGAGAAGGTTTCACATTAAAAAAAAGACCCCCGAGAAGATTTCACATTATAAAAAAAAACGTTTGGCGCCCGCGAGAAGGTTTTACATTAAAAAAAAAACACTTAGGATCCCAGAGAAGGTTTCACATTAAAAAAAAGACCCCCGAGAAGGTTTCACTTTAAAAAAAAAACACGTTTGGCGCCCCCGAGAAGGTTTTACATAAAAAAAAAACAGTTGGGACCCTCGAGAAGGTTTAACGTTAAAAAAAAGATAATCGGGACCCCCGAGAAGGTTTCTCATTAAAAAAAAACAAATAGAATCTTCGAGAAGGTTTCACATTAAACAAAATACCCCGGAGAAGGTTTCACATTCTTAAAAAATACATTTGGCGCCCCCGAGAAGTTTTTATATTTTTAAAAAAGACACTTCTTGGGAGAAGGTTTGACATTAAAAAAAAAAAAACATTTGGGGTGTTCAAAAAGATTTTACATTTTTAAAGAAGACGGTTGAGACCCCGAGGTTTTACATTTTTAAAAAAGACAATTGGGACCCCCGAGAAGGTTTCAAATTCTAAAAAAAAAACGTTTGGCGCCCGAAGAAGGTTTTACACCCAGTTGGGACCTTCGAGAAGGTTTCACAATAAAAAAAAAAGACAATTGAGACCCCGAGAAGGTTTCACATTAAAAAAGACAGTTGGGACCCCCGAGAAGGTTTGACATTAAAAAAAAGACAATTGGGATCCCCGAGAAGGTTTCACATTCTAAAAACAAAACACATTTGACGCCCCCGACAAGGTTTTACGTTTTTAAAAAAGACAGGGGATATGTTATTTACCGAAATAAGTCTTATCTTAGCCAGTACTAGCCCCGCCCGCCCACCTTTTACTTTCTTAGAGGGTCTATCATCTGCCAAAATCGGTCTTATCTTACCAAGTACTAGTCCCGCCCACCCGCCCCCTATTTTCTCAGACCATGTCATTTGCCAAAATGAGACTTATGTTAGCAAGTAATAGCCCCGCCCGCCCACCCTTTATTTTCTTAGAGGGTATGTCATCTGCCAAAATCAGTCTTATTTTACCAAGTACTAGGTGCTTGTCCACTTTATTCTACTCAAATGTTTATGGGATTATAGAAACCCTCAAAAAGGAGGCGGAGATACCTAATATCTCTCGGTACAGCCAATACCGAGTGTCTCAAAAATAATGGATTAATAAAACATTCATTATCACAATAACAAGTAATAAAACTATTAGTTAATATTTCTGTCGCCCATGACCAATTGACCATGTTTAATTTAATTACCATTTTAGTTAAAACGTACCAAGATATGGTTGCGTTGCTTTTGTAATACTTTGATAAAATTCCATTTGACAACAATGTTTGCCTGATATCAGCGACGGTACAAATCAGCAAAAATCGAGTAACCAGTTAAAAATGTTTGACGTATCAAAAATTGTCAAAACTTCCAAAACACTACGTTCAAAAAGTTCGTACTTAATTTCGGTCCCATGGTATTTTTTTCGGATAAATTTAAAAGAATCTGTTGTTTTGTTGCTGGATGAACTTGGAAAAATCTTTTGAACTTTTAATGTTTTTTTATGATTTTGAAAAAGTCTTGTGTGTTGTAGTATTTTTTTTAATTCAAGAGACTCTTGGTCTTGGGTGCCTAAAACAATTTTCGGAGACTTTGGTGTTCTGTTTTTGGAAAATTCTAACCTGACCTACTTTTAGGTTAATTTTGAGAGCACGTTTTATTTTTTGAAAAATTTAAAACATTTTAAGCAAACCAGTGCAACATTTTTTTTTTAAGTATTAGGCATCCCCGCCTCCTTTTTGAGGGTTTCCATTATCTCATAAACATTTGAGTAGAAGCGGGCAAGGGGCAAGGGCCAAATTGGATGACGTTATGTACAATTTTGCTGAGTAAATTGAATCCAAATTGTGCACAATTACGCTTTTCTACTTGTCGATTCTTTTCATTTTTTTTTTTAATTTTATATTTTGCCATTTTGTTTTAATATGTGTAGACTTCTTTTCACAACATAAAACTTAAACATGTTTAAAATGAAAAACTTGTATAAGGAAATATTGATTTTGCAATTAAGAAAAAAAAAAACGCAAAATATAAGCCCCCCCACCAGCCCTATCTCAATTCTGATGATTTTTTTTAATCATCGTAAGCCGAGCGGTGGAGCTTAATTGTAAAATACTTATTTTTCTACGAGAAATTACCAAATATGTTCTTAAGTAATCGTGTTACACAAAGAAAACTAAATGTCTTAATTAAAAAAGAAAACCAAAAAAAAAAAACCCACCCATCCGCCTCCATCTCAATCGTGATGAAATTTTCATTCGTTGTCAGACCGAGGGGCGGAGCGTAGGTTGCAAAATCGATATTCCCCTATACAAATTTACCATTTTAAACATGTTTTAAGTTTCTCGTTGTGAAAAAATGACGACACATATTTAGAAAAAAAAGGAAGAATATAAGGCTCCCCACCCGCCCTATCTCAATTATGATCTTTTTTTATTCGTCGTGAGCCAAGGGGGCGGAGCTTAATTACAAAATCCTACGAAAAATTAAAAACATGTTTTTGAATATTATATGGTGTTGTTCAAAGAATACTATGCATATTAAGAAAAAACTAAAGCCAAAAATAGACCCCACCCATACCCGTCCCGATCTCAATTCTCAATTTTTCATTCGTTGTCAGATACAGGGGCAGGGCTTAATTGCAAAATCCATATTTGTCTACAAGAATTTACCATTTTAAACGTGTTTTAAGTTACTAAGAATAAAAAAAATCATCACAGTTGAGATGGGGAGGGTGGGTCGGGGTTTATATTTTGGCTTTGTTTCTTAATATTCTTACATAGCATTCTTTAAACGATACGATACTTAAAAACATGTATTTAATTTCTTGTGAAGAAATAAGTATTTTGCAGTTAAGCCCTGCCCCCTAGGTATACCTGTTTGGAAAGAATTTCAAAGTGCCTTGGAGCCTCTAGTGTCTTTTCTTATAACAATTTAATTAAATTTCTTAGATACGTCATTTGCTAAAATCAGTTTTATCTTAGCAGGTACTAGCCCCGCCCACCCGCCCTCTCTTTTCTTGTAGGGTATGTCATTTGCCAAAATCGATCTTATTTGAGCAGGTACTAGCCCCGCCCACCCACCCTCTCTTTTCTTGTAGGGTTTGGCATTTGCCAAAATCAGCCTTATCTTAGCGGGTACTAGCCCCGCCCACCCACCCTCTCTTTTCTTAAAGTGTATGTCATTGCCAAAATCAGTTTTATCTTAACAAGTATTGTTGACTAACTTTTACAAAAAATGATCAGAATTCGAAAAAATTACGAGGTTACTTATATTCACAAGGCAGGAAATTTGAACATCTTCTCTATTGCTTAGTTGGTTATGCTTTAATGGATTTTTCTTTTATTGGTTTTGTTTTTGTTTATAATTTATAAATATCTTATTAAATGTTTTTTTTTTTGTACATTTTTACTTTATCAACAATCACTTAAATTTACTAATATTAGATGACATTTTATACAGTTTCGTTTGTGATTTCAGAATTACTACTCACATGCTGTAAAAATCTAAAACTGCGGAAAAAGATAAAATTTAATCAATTATGTTTGTACTACTCTCTTTTCTACACATTTATTTGATAATAATCGTACTATAAATTATTAATGGTTCTATAGAACAGCTCGATCCTTACCGATATTTTCAGTAACTCGCCATCAGAGGACATGGCCTCTCGGGCCTTAGTCTGGACTTTCCTCAACTGCTAAATTTGACGGGCCGAGTTCGCCATCATCCTGTATACTTTTATCAAAACTTTGAAACTGGACTGTTCTAATTTCCACTTACGATTAACAAATAAAATAAAATTTATTTCACTTGAAGAAATGGAAAGCTTACCTCCAAAAACAATGGTAGAGAACTTAACCTAACTCCAAGTGAATGATTATTATTAATATTATTACTAGAAACACAATCGACGGTTTCAAGTAACACAAAAAAACTAATAACATATTATTTATAAGCTAAAAATTTATAAGTGTTACTTTTATCCCCACTTTCCGTCAGCGTTCACTCGATTTTTGCAAAGGTCGGTTTAACAGTTGCGAGGCTAACCGATGAAAGGATAATTGCATCAAAAGGAAACCCAAAACTTCGACGTGGGCTGACCGTGAGGAATAATAAATTCAGTCAAAACCTAATCCCAGATTGGTACTACCACAGGAGGATTATCAGTTAGAGGTCACCTTACTCATCTCTCTCCTTGCAATGTACTAATAATTACACCTAAATTATTCACAAACTTGGTGAAACTTTGAAAACCGTAAAATCACCATACACACATGGATTTAAGACAGATCAAAGTACAACACAACGCCACACCAAGACCCAAAAACGCGAAATTTGTTTTCCTTCGGATCAATTTGCATGGAATTGGTATGGATGATCACCTTTTCAAACTTCTAAAGGCCTGGAAAACTGAAACAACATCTCCAAAAGAGTCTCCAAAGACTTTCAGACATAAACAGGGTAAACATGATTATTCCTAAATTTACTTTTTAGTTTAATTCGTTAATCAAGTCTGTCACTAGCAAGGGTATAGAGCCGGCATAATTGAAAATAATTTAGTAGCAGGAGTAGCAACACGACGAAGAGGAAAATCAATCAAGGGAGACAAAAATCCCCTGTCTTTGATGTTTTTACCTTATCAAAATAATCTTATAAATACAAATGTCATTAAATATAAAATCACAAGTTTAGGGTAAATAAAACAGGTCTAATAACTTTAGGATTGTTTGTGTGTTTATTGACCACTCTTACATTGTCAAAAATATATAAAACTTACACTTACACCTATCATATTTACAGTAGACATTTTCCACAATCGAGAGTGCAATGAACGTGAGCATTATAAATACATTCGATGGATTCAGTTGACAGCGCCTCAACTTCGAAAATCAAATCAAACTACACTTTACATAACTACTCGATGATTAATGCATTATTTACAAGATGAAAATTTACAAACGTTGTCCATTAGCACGACACAACACTGTATCCGTTTTAGCACCGACCGTTCGTCAGCGCTCACTCAATTTCAGTAAAAGTCTATTTAGCGTTGTGACGTCAACCGACGAAGGGATAGCCGGGATAGGGCGCCGGGAAGAATCCCGGGAAGGTCGCCGCCGTGGGCTGCACGGGCACCGACGCCGTCATATACGTCGTCAGTAAAGTTGGCACCACTTTGGTCGAGAAAATGGTCGTGTAAGCCGTTTTAGCCCCGAAAGTCAGCTTAAGAATCTTGCTATCAGTTTGCGTAACAAGAGTGCTCTGGATGATGGGAGACGAAGTGACAGCGAACTGGGGTTGCGGAAACAGAGGGTTAACCGGAACTGGGGGCAGCGGCAGCGGCGCCGGGGCGATCGTGCTAGTGCCGAACTCGTAATCCGTCTTAGTCACGGTCCCCAGGACCTTGGAAATGGTGCTGAGGATGGTGTTGCCGGCGGTGGTCACCGGGATGACGAGGGACTCGTACACGGTCTCGAGCTTGAGGACGGGCTTCGAAGTGGTGATGACCTGACCTGTAAGTCCAACTCATGTAATAATGAATTAAGGACTTAATTAGTTAAGTACTTACCTTGAGCCGCCCCCGGATTCAACAGTCGCAAAAGCGCCAACTGCTGCAGCTGATCAGGATTAAGATTCTGTGCAGGGAACTGTTCACTGAGAATCGGTTTAGGCGCCTTCTTCGGCCGTAAAAGTCCTTCAGGGATCCGCGCCTTATCCACGTCGGATAGATCAAAATCGGACCCGATTTTCGCTAGATCCAAATCATGGAACGCCCTTTTAGCATGACCGTCGTCATCGTCGTTCTGGTCCCCGAATTCGAGCTCCAGGTGCAGCTCCGACCCCGCCTCGTCCAAGTAACTGTTGAACTCCTTGAGCGTCTTGCTGGGGATGAAGTGGTAGGCGTCCATCGGGGGCAGCGTCTTCGTGGCGGTGACCATCCTCGTCACTAAGTACGTCTGCACCAGAGTGGTGGTGGCGGTTTCGTTTCCGGTGTGAACGATGGGCAGGACGTGGGTCTTGAACATGGTCTGGGTCGTGCTGAACGTCTCCGTGAGTGTTTCCAAGGGCGGGGTCTGCATGTCCGATGCGAGATAAATCGGCGGCAACGTGGCAACGCTCGAATCCAAGAAATTATTGTCCTTGCCGTAATTGCTTGAAGTGGCTAAAATATTTTCTGTTAACGGCTCCGAGCCCGAGGGCGATATCGTCGCTTCGGGCGTATTCACCAGGCTTTTTTCGAATGTGGACGTGACAGTTATATATCTTGTGTTTTTCACGTTGCCGGCCTGGAAGAGAATGCGACTTACGAAATGAAATTTTACGCGCAAGTGGGGAGTTTTTATGATTATTGGAAAGGACAAAAAATTTTTAACGAGGGCAGTGGAACTGTGTAAAGTTTTACGGGTTTAGCGTTTAAGTCAGTTTTAAATACGGTTTTGATATATTTGAACGGTTTGTGGTGGCACGATTTTGGTGTTTATTCTCATTTTTACACGTTCGACAAATTATTTGTTGAACTGTGTACGAAATCCTGAAAATAATCCTAAATTTCAATATCAGTTTATATGACCGGAGTATTTTTATCAATGAATTAGAATTGAACCCGGCGCATCCACCAATTTCTAAAAACATATACTGAAATTTTGTGTAAGTGGATGTTCACAACCTTTAAGAATGTCTGCATTTACGTGTAACAATTTTCCTTATTATACGCAGTAGTTTTATTTTATATTAAAAAAGAAAAAACGGGAAACCATTGTAAAAACTAACACACTCTTTGGTTTCCATATTTTGCAACTGGTAAATTAGCAACGACGCTAATTGACGTTATATTGGTTAATATACATCACAATATCTAGCTTATCGACACAAAAAAGTGTTCAATATTTAACGAACTGAAACAGAATTTTTGATCTTCTTTTTATGTGTAATGAAAACGTGGACAGATTTATCCATATTTACTCGAATTGCAAAGTCCAGTATGTTCATTTTGCATAATTAATGTGCGTTTGAAAGCTTTTGTTTTTTATATGAATTAGCAATATTGGCTTACATAGTTTAGCATGGTAATTGCAACAGTTTTGATAGTATAAGTTTACTTCTAAAACCAACAAACTTCTATGATTGTTTGCTGTAGAAATCGCAACGCTCGTGTTTATACTCTGTGTCTCAAAAAAAAATCCTTTGAATACAGCAGATGCGGGCTAATTGGAAAAAAATTAATTAATAATTTTTTGCAGGCCAAATTTTGTGAAAAAGTTAATTAAAATTTTGTTGTTGCCCAGTTTGTTTATTTCAAATTGCGGAATTTTCGTAATTGTGCCACTTAATATATAACACAATTTAAATATATTTTCTCTACGTTTGGTTCTATACTTCCGACAGTTTTGTATTATTTCTGCTCCGCTTTAACTTGGCAGCGTACAAAACCCATAACAATGTTTTTTATATGGGAAAATATAGCGTGCTTATTATATGAAGCAATACTTTCGAAATAATCGGTTTTAAAGTAATTTTTTTTTTTTTTGAAAATCCAAAAATCGCGGTATTTCAGTGAAGGATTCGGCGAGAGTTATCGAAGAAACGAAGCTGAAAAGGGATTATAGAGCTCGAAATCTACAAGAAAATGTATTTATTAAGTTTCGAAAATTGTCGAAAATGGGTCGAAGTTTAAAGAAGAATAATCTTCATTTCTGAAAAAATTGTTTAACAATCCACAAAAAATTCTGGGATGTAGATCTCGACGTCCTGATTCCAAAAATATAGCGTGTTTATGGTTAGGGAGCAATATTTTCGAAATATTCGGTTTTAAAATCAATTTTTTTTAATTTCCAAAAATTGCGATATTTCAGTAGGAAACCATGGAAAAACGGTTGAAGTTATCGATGAAACTACGATGAAAAGGAATTACAGAGCTCAAAATCTACAAAAAAAATGTGTTTAGTTAAGTTTCAAAAATGGTGGAAAATAACACGAAATTTGAAGACGGAAAAATTTCACTTTTGAAAAAATTGTTTACCAATCCACAAAAAAATCTGAGATGTAGATCTCGATGTGCTGGTTCCAAAAATATAATGCGTTTATGGTCAGGGGGCAATATTTTCGAAATATTCGGTTTTACTTAAAATCTTTTTTTTAATTCCAAATTTGCTATATTTCGGTAGGAGATTCTGGAAACACAGTTGAGTTATCGAAGAAACTAGGACGAGAAGATTATAGACTTAAAATATACAAAAAAATATGTTTAGTTAAATTTCAAAAGTGATCGAAAATGGGTCGAAATTTGAAAAAGGAAAAATTTCATGTTTGAACAAGTTGTCCAAAAATCTACAAAAAATTCTGAGATATAAATATCAACATTGCTGATTCCAAAAATACAGCGTGTTTATGATTAAAGAGCAATATTTTCGAAATATTTGGTTTTAAACTCAAATTTTTCAAAAATTTCAAAAATTGCGATAATTCAATATACAATTCTTGAGAAACAGTGGGAGTTATGGAAGAAACCAGCCCGGAAAGGAATTATACGCCACGAAATTTACAAAAAATGTATTTAGTTAAGTTTCAAAAATTGTCGCAAATAGGTCGAAATTTGAAGAATTGGAACAGTTTCACTTTTGATAAGTTGTTTAAAAATCCACAAAAATTCTGGGTTAAGGCAACGTATTTATGGCAACCGAGCACTATTTTTGGAATATTCGCTTTTGAATTAAAATTTTTAAAAATTCTAGAAATTACGATGTTTCAATTTATCGAAAGAAACATATAGCATTCTGGAAAAACGGTTTGAGTTATCAAAAAAACGAGGCCGAAAGTAATTTCTAGAGCTCGAAGTCTAAAATCAAACGTATTTAGTAACTTTTGAAAATGGGTCGAAATTTGAAGAAATTTAGAAAAATTTTACTTTTGAAAAAGTTGTTTAAAAATCTACAAAAAATCCTGGGCTACAGATCTCGACGTGCTGAGTTCAAAAATATAGCTTGTGTATGGCCACGAAATATTCGGTTTTAAATAAAAATGTTTTAAAGCTACTAATTTCTGAAAAAGTGCATGGACCCTACAGAATTTATCACAAAGATTTTATAATTCCGCATCTTTCGTATTAAAATTCGATTTTAACACCTTCATTAATTTTATAGAGTACAATTTAATTGTAACGAGTCATCACTGGAGTTTAAAATTTTTTACCTCAAAAACAAATAGATGTTCATGTCAAAAATTATTTTAGACGTGAATCTACAACATTGCCATGGACTTTAAAATCTTAAAAAAAAAATAAAAAAACTCCCGTTTTGAATATTTCGGTAGACGTTTTTCTTAACAAGGAAAGATTTTTTTAATAGGAATTTAAAAACACTGGTACAGTAACAGTGACATTGTTAGAATCAGTAAAGTTTCGTAATAATATAATTAAAAAACTTAGACAAAATTTTGAATATTCAAAGATTAATTCAATTAAATTACTATGAAATTTTAACAAATAAAAAATAAAATTTTTAACACGAATAGAAGCGAAATAACACAAATTTTATGATAAGCAAGGCGCGGAATTGTATCTCATACGCTAGAACCAGTGCTGTCGCGGCGATAGTTTGATTACGAATATATTTTTCTTTTGGACTATATCAACATAATATAACATTTCAAGATAACAAATCTGTGATCCTGTGGTTGAAAAATAAAAAAGGGCATCGAGTATTATTATTTGAAGTAATATAGTAATATAGAAGTCGTTTTTTACTAGCTGCAAAACACTCCTAGCGACGCACTGGCTACGACCTTGTGGACCAGATCAAGGCGTCTCAGCTACTCGGCGTAAAACACACCTTACTTCAACTGGGGGATTGCTCTGGTGAGATAGAATCCCGCGTATTAATGATAAGATAATAATTTGTGTAAGATTCATGAATCAACTTCCTCAGAAATCGGCAGATTCTTGGTAACTGACTACACCCCGTTGAATTCTCCCATATAAAATATATTGCTTAAGAGTTTTATATGCAGCTAAGTCAAAGTGGAACGAACAATAGAATCTGTGAGAAATCCATGTCCTGTGAAGCATCATTGAAATTTTTACCCGGCGCATCCACTATTTATTAATAACATTTAATATGAAATGGCAGATTTAGTAGTCAGCAGGACTAATTAACAAATTCCCATTTTAAAATGGATTTTTTTTTTAAATATGGATAACTACAAGGAATGCTTTCTTGTAATGTATTAGCAGATTTTTTATTTTTTTAAAATTGGTTCCCAAAAAATTGTGGAACATTTAATGATTTAGAAAATTTTCAAAATACTGACATATTGACTAATTAAGATTATATCAGATTTTCTGCTTGTAACACTGGACCTTTGTTAAATAATTCAAACTTTCTTATTAATAATTATAATAATAATTCTAGATTTACCCGGCGCATCCACCAGTTTTTAAGATAATAAAATCAATTCAACCCTTCATTGTGGTCTCAAGTTGTGATGGAGGTGGCAAAAGAAAAATATTTCAAGATGCAAACTAACATTCATCAGATGGCACAAGCATTTTAGTACTTTGTGTGAAAAATATCTGAAAAATCATAGATCGGTTTGTTTTCATCAGTTTATTTCAAGTATTCACTTTTTTAACAGTCTGACGTTTAAATTTGAGATTACGAGTTTTCCAGAAGCTTCAATAAATAATAGCAGTAATTTAATATTTAAGAGAATCTGTGACGTTTTTGAGACTTGACATCACCCAAACGTGCCGATAAATTTAGATCCGGCGTATTCAGCAACATTCGGAAATGTCACCACAAAACGAACATGCACTGTTTCCAACACTTCACATTTAGAAATGTAGTTCCTCAGAACCTGAATAAATACTTTAGTTTCAGCTAGAACCACTAACCGATTTTATCTAAAAATCCGGGATCGATATGCCCCTCCAATCCTGCTCTGCTTACCTGGAACGTGTAGGGCGACTTGATGGTGGCAATTTCGTAGTAGATGTCCTTAAAATCGGGCGGCGTGGAAATTTCCACCTTAAGCGTTTCGAGGGGGAAGGGAGTGTCGAGTTTATTTTCCGTGGAGCTTTGATCGTCAATAATTGAAGCAATTGATTCGGAGCCCTCCAGCCCGTCGACGTCGTCGGCCCTGGCTTGGGGCGTAACGACGTCGTTGAGCGCCGGAGACACGTCTTGCAGCGTCGTCGGCGTCGTTCCGAGCGTCTCGTTACCGCTTTCCTCGTCGTCGTTTTGCTTCCTGATAGTGACTCTGGGCTTAGGTGTTGTCTTGTACTGCCATCTGCCTGGAGACCGATTTAATTTAAACTTATACAAACTGGTCGAGCCCGAGCTCTGGTCCACCGTCGACGCCTGAACTTTGGGCTTGTAGCCCCGCCGGCTGTAGCCTCCGTTATTGCTGGGGGCTTCCGAGCTGGTAACGCTCGGTCGATGCTGTTTATTTCTTCGTGACTGATAGCGCTTGCCGGAGCCCAACGGGGCCGTCGTTACTTCTTCACTGTGTACAGATACAGGGCGAGTTGTTGTAGTTGTTTTTCTGCTACTCCGACCGTATTTTTGGGGTCTGTGTGAGGTGTTGTGTCTGTATTTTATTTACAAGTGTTAGTGCTTCGTGTGCCACTGCTGACCCATGCAATGCTTGTGCTTGAAATATTCACGCTTTTTCGCGACGAATTAAACCCAACCGAAACCGAACGAGCGATGAATATTTCAAACTTCGCCATTGGTACAAAATTTGGTTTATGCAGGCTGCGCTATTAATACCAGTTTCATTTGGCGACGGTAATTGTTAGTACCGTTCAAAATAATTTAACAATTGAAATATACAGTGTGATCATACAATTTTAGTACTCGTATATGTTTCTGACAAGTGATAGGTAGGCAACCAATAATTTTTTGATAGTATGAAATACATCAAGGATTACCGTTCCGTTGTTCGTATACTATTATGATAACACACTTTCATATTGCGATGAGCTCCGTTTATGCAAGTGGCTCGTGTATTCGTCAAAACAAATACAGCAAAACTTTATTATACGTCTAAATTAGCAAGCATGTTAATGTTGCAGCGTATTTTCTTTACACAGAATTTGTGTCCAGTTAACACAGTTCGCTGCGTTCGCCCGAACAGCAGATTATTTAATTGCACTCACACAGTTTGCTTCCGGTATTTTCTGTGTTTACACGACACCCATATGTTAACAAAAAAGCGACCTACTCCTGCATTCAAAGTTTACATTTTCGGTGTAGTAAAATATATGTCGATGAAATTTTAAATAAATTTAATTAAAGGCCCGAAAACAGCAAGGAATAAGAAATTAGAAGAAGCCGTAAGAAATAAGATTTCAGCACGTACAAATTTGAATTGAGGAATGAAGAATGCAGCAAAAGATATTTCTTATTTTTTATCCTTTATTTTTTGTTCCTTATTTCATATTTTTTGTATTGTGTTTGGGGCTTAACTCTTTCCGAGATAATTGATAAATGATAAAACATGTGGTCCATATATTATGACAATATAGGGTTTTAAATTGTGAACATGACGTCATCAAATTTCTGAAAGGAATAATACTTGGTTGAGAGTGGAGTACCTGGAATTTGTATATCACGTATTTTTAGTACGTCAGCTAAATATTTAGTACATATGAGTTTTCTTTTTTTTTTAATTAATTGACGAAGAAACATTATATTTTGCCTGTTTTTCTTAATCTTCGTAGTCATCTTTACACAACAAGAAACTTAAAACATCTTTCAAATGGTAAATTTTTGTAGGGAAACATGCATTTTGCAATTACGCTGCGCCCCTCGGTCCTACAAAAATTTACCATTTTCAACATGTTTTAAGTTTTTGTTGTGAAAAGATGACTACGTATATTAAGGAAGAAGGGACAAAATATAAGCCCCGCCCACCCACCCAATCTCATTTGTGATGATTTTCTTAATTCGTCGTGGGCCAAGAGGGCGGAGCTTAATTGCAAATGCCGTATTTGTCCACTAGAAATTACCAGGTAAACAATGTTTTTGATTATCGTGTTATTCAAAGAATACTATGTACGAGGTAAGCGCCAAATATTCTCGGCCTAACAAAGAAAGAGACCTGATGGAAAAAAATTAAATATTTATATTTCAACATAATCTCTGTTAACTTCAATACATTCAAAACTACGTTCAACTAACAGCTCTATGCGTTTAAAAAAATTATTTGAATCTTTATCACTAAAATGATGTAGTACTGCCGTTTGCACCTCTTTATCCGTCCAAAACGTTTTCCCTGCAAGTCGTTTTTTATCTTAGAGAACAGTTAATAATCGTTCGAAGCTAAGTCAGTACTGTAGGGTGGATGATCAAGTTACTCGAAGTCACAGGCCCCTATAGCAGCTTGAGAAAGACATGCGGTATGAACGAGCGCATTTTCATGAAGCAATCGAACGCCTCTTGTTAATTTTCTCGGCCTTTTTTCCCAAATACGGTCTCCTAATTTATGCAGTAAGTAAGCATAATATGTAGCGTTGACAGTGGTATTTCATCCTTTAAAATTAATCAACAACATGCCTTTACAGTCCCAAAAAATTGTGGCCATGATTTTTTTGGAAGATTGGTTCGTCTTCAAGGGTTTCTTACCCCATGTGAAATAACTGTGATCATTTTTTTTAGTAAAATGTGAAGGACAAGCTTCAGCAAACACAAAAACCATCCTGTCCTTAATACCCTTTCTAGAGCAATTCCATCTTTTGATAAGAATTTTATTGCCGTTCGATTTTCAATTTTAAACGGGCATGATGAGTCCATAATTTTTCAAATGTTACTCCTCAAATGTATCAAAACTAATGGGCAGTGGGGCTTGAAATTTTACACACATACTGCGGGGCCCTTCTAGTCTTTTATGAGTTGTACAAATTTCCCGACGAGCAATCGCAAATATATCAGGCCGAGAATATTTGGCGTTTACCTCGTATATTAAATAAAAATTAGAACCAGATCGAGATCGAGACGAATGGGTGGGGCTTATGTATTGGGTTTCTTTTATACTGAATACATAATATAGTTTGTGTTGAATAACACGATTACTCTAGAACATGTTTCACATAGCATTTTAGTCTAGATAAAGAGGGATTTTACAATTAAGCTCCGTCCCACTGCTTACGACCAGTAAAAAAAATCATCACGACTGAGACAGGGTGGGTGGGCGGGGCTTATATTCTGGCTTTTTTATTAATATACGTAGTCATCTTGTCACAAGAAAATTAAAACATATTCAAAATGGAAAATTTTTCTAGCGAAATACGGATTTTGCAATTAAGCTCCGCCCCTCGGTCTGATAAAGAATGAAAACTTTATCACTATTGACGTCGGGGCAAGTATGGGTGGGGATTAATCTCGTGATGAATTTTTCATTCGTTGCCAGACGAGGGGTAAAGCGTAACTGCAAAATCCATATTTTCCTCAAAAATTTTTCATTTTCAACATGTTTTGTTACCAAAAGATGACTACGTATATTAAGAAAAAAGCAGCAAAATATAAGCCCCGCCCACCCACCCAATCTCAATTCTGATGATTTTTTCATTCGTCGTGGGCCAAGAGGGCGGAGCTTAATTGCAAATGCAGTATTTCTCCACTAGAAATTATCAAGTAAACCATGTTTTTTATTATCGTGTTATTCAAAGAATACTGTGTATATTAAATAAAAATTAAAGCCAGATCGAGATCGAGACGAATGGGTGGGGCTTATGTCTTGGCTTTCTTTTATACTGAATACATATAGTTTGCTTTCAATAACACGATTACTGAAGAACATGTTTCGCATAGCATTTCTATTGATTATAGACTGGAAGTGTACCGCCTCTCACTTTATGTGGATTAACTTTATTTATGTTCAGTTTAAGATCATTCTTTTCAATCAGTTGGGATAAAATCAATCAGTGAAAACGACACAGGGTGGGTGGGCGGGGCTAATTATGTTCTTCTGTCGAGTGGAAATGGTAATTAATAATATAATCTAGGATGTGAAAAATTAGCGCTAGCCCCACCCATCCACCCCGATATCAATTGTGATGAGTTTTTCATTCCTAGTCACTAATCAGACGAAGGACGGAATTTAATTGTATCATCAATAAAAAATTCTATCCTTTTAAAAACATATTTCATATTGTAGTTTCTTGTAGAAAAATGAGGATTTTTGCCTTTCAGCCACGATGAATAAAATTTTCCTCACAAATGAGAAGGGGTGGGCGGGCGGGGTTTATATTTGGTGCATTTTGTCTTAATATACGAAGTCTTCTTTTCCCAACAAGAAGCTGACAATATTTTTAACTATCCTGGTGTTAAAATAAAACTCTATATATTAAAAAAAAAACTAAAATTCATCCCTACCCACCTGCCCCGATCTCAGTTGTGATGAGTTTTTCATTCCTAATCAGACCGAAGGGCGGATTTTTTTAATTGCAACATCAATATTTCTCTAAAAAATTCTACCCTTTTAAAAACACATTTCATATGAAAATTTCTTGTAGAGAAATGAGGATTGCGCAACTAAACTCCGCCCTTCAGCTCACGATGAATAAAATGTTTATCACAATCGAGAAGGGGTGGGTGGGCGGAGCTTATATTTGTTACATTTTTTCTTAATATACGAAGTCTTCTTGCCCCAACAAGAAACTGAAAACATGTTTAACTACCCTGTTGTTGAAAGAAAATTCTATATATTAAAAAAACTAAGATTAAAGAAAAGTTGTCACAGCGCATTACCAGTGCAAAAAAAAAGGAAACTGTTAAGAGTTCGGCATCGCCCAATTGTTTTTGCGAAAAAAAAATTAAAATACTGTTCATTGAGATGACGTCACCAAATTGTTGGTGTGGATTTTTAGCCACATTTTGGCTAGCATTTAATCATCTACATGATAGTTCTAATATACATACAAAATTTGACAACAATCGGTCAGCAGTTTCGGAGATTACGTGTCCAATAAAAATGGATACAGACAGACAGACAGACGGACGAAACGCAAGGCTACTTTTTTCGTACTGAAGGGGCATGAAACGTCGAGAAAACATAAAAGTGGCCATTCGTCCGATGCTCTCCATTACTATACTTCCCTAGCTTACGCTCGGGAAGTAAAAACGTGGAAAAAATGTTTGTTTTATTATAAAAAAAAGCATTGCTCGAAAAAGATTATAAAATTTTAGCAACATTTGTCACGTCAATGAAAACAAGATCAAAATTGATGCTATATCAAACATGTAATGAAGCGTTAAAATTTAATCTCAAAACGTGATCACGTGCTCAACTAACCGTATAATTATGTTGACACATAAATTAAAATAGTCAAAAAAAATTTAATCTACATGTATCGAGATTTTTATGTAAACAACTGATCAGTATTTAATTCAGTATCTCATGGTTTTTGTCGGGATGAAAATTAACAGAAAATAGTCCACAACGAAAACAAAAACCCAAACCTTCGTATCGTGCATACTTTCAACTTATTGTTCACGTGTGGTAACAAAAACTTGCAAATGAAATTTTACTGAAACCGAACATGCTTTAGTAAACTGCAATCAAGACAATGAAGAAAATTCTCCGATGTGTATCACACAGAAAATGTTTTACCAAATAACACAACCGAACCAGTGTTTCGAGCTTCTGCTCGTTTTGCTCTTGTTTAAAATATTTGCGCTTTTATTACTCCGAACGAACGAAATCAAGCGATAGTTAAATATTTCAAATTTCTACAATTCACAAAAAAATTAGCTACTGCACCAACCAATTTCATTCTGCAATATCGGAATGTTAATACGGTTGTTCGGTATTAGTGCTGCTAATACCTGTGCCCTCTGGCATTTAATAATCATTTGTTCGCAAATATATTAAATTAAACTCGACGTATTTGTTGCATGTCCCGAGTACTCAATTAATGCGTTTTTTATTCAGTGATGGAAGTGATTAATAAGAGGAAATATGGCGATTGTAATTCGGTATTGATTCAGTTGTGTTATTAGGAGTGTGAGTTTTGAAATGTTAATCAATGTGAGCAAACTGCGTTACTAAATTAAAACGCCACCAGTCGACATAATTAGGTAAATATTGGGGGAAACGGTAAAAATGAAGTTTTTTCAGGTGCTTTCGGCGGTGTATCCAAAATGACAACAAAAACATAGACTAAAAAAGATTTGCTCTTATTTGTAAATATTGCGACAAACTGGAGCTTGGTTTTTATACTGAACTTTGATCAAGACGTCGTTCTGTTAACTTCTTTTTCTGTCATATCGTCCAAACTGGAAAGGTACAGGCCTGCAGTATTTATTTATAGCATGTCATGTGAAAAGACGCCCTTTGAAGTACATGAACATATCTAAATACCCTCAAACGTCTCCAGTTTTTGTATTTTGTTACAGATTTGGAATAATCGGCTTCAAAAACTACGTTTTTTAGTCACAAAGCGAAAACTGCCCACTCTGATCCCAACCTACACACGATAAAATTCAAGCGGGTTCATATTTCAGTTTTAGGCAATAAAATCGAGATTGACGCATTCCATGTGTACAGTACTAAACTTAATGTTTGCAATAAAGTCAGAAATGGCGATTTAATTTTTACAGAAAATAATGTGAATATCACCCGAAATAAAAGCAGACAGTAAAAAACAAATATATGCGGGGGAAAACGGTCGACATCATACTAAAATCTGACTCCTGTGATTTGGCATAACCGGTCCCAAATTAACCTTTGATATTTAAAAATAAAAAAATAAAAATATACGCAGGCCTTTGTTTCGAATTTAGCGCAAAAACGAATTCACCATTTTTTGCCCGAATTACATGGGGGATTTAATTTATTTTTACGTATTTCTGCCGATTGAAGCAGATAATAATAGACAAAAGAAAAATTTTTGCATTGTTGACCCCGCGGGGTACGTAATCATCGCTTACGCGTCTAGAGCAACCGTAGTTGTACTAACGTCGATTGCAGAGGCGCTTTGTCGCCAACTGAAACTGGGTACAACAACCATGTCTCATCAGGTTCGTAAGCGCCATAATATCGAAGTAAATAAATTGAGACGTGTTTAAACTGCGACAGCCTGCAATTCGCTCCATATTTACATTCTTTCCGGCAAACTCACTTGGAATTCCTCCCGGATTGCGTCTGTGCCCTGGATCGCTGTGATTTCTTGTTCTTGGAATGCGCCGAGACATCTTGTTCGTTGTTTTCATCATCAGCTTCCGCCTCCTTCTGCCTGTTTTTAAATCTCGGTTTAAAGGAGGATCCAGGTCCCGTCGGCTTCCTCGTGGATTTAATGGAGTTTTGCGAATTAAACGGCGATTCCGCCGGAAGAGCCGTCTCCTCGTTTATGGAGCCTGCGGGAGTCGGCTCCAAATGGCGATGGTGCTTATTTCCTTTGCCTAACAACAACAATAATAATAATGGTAAATTCGGTCGACGCACAGTTACGACGTTTCACATACCTAGAGAGGGCGCCGCCGTCTTGAGGATCCTGAGCGTCGGCGATGGGTTTATCTTGGCCTTCTGGTGGTTGTTGTGGATGTGCGAAGTGCTCTGGAGCACCTGCGCGTACTTTCCGGAGATGTAGGTTCCGATAACGCTTGTTTCGTGGACGGTTGTCGTTCCGTCTTTTATGACAGTTCCTCCCAGTTTAGTGACTAATCCCGTCGGGTGTAATGAGTCTCTCTTCGTCGCTTTGTTTTTTGGCTCAGCTGAAGGACGCGGCTTTAAATGGAACTTGGAACTCGGTTTTAAGTTTATTACTTTGTAGGTTTCCTCCACAACTTCCGACGGCTGTCTGGAGAGAAAATCATACTCGGGTTCGCCGATGTTGTTGCCGATGATGACGGCCGGCTCTTCTTCGCTCTTGACAGAGACGACGCTACTGCGGGGAAAGTAACGCGTTAGAGAAAAATATGCGGTATTTGAAAGGTAAAATAGGGACGACTTTTCCAAGTTCTGAGTAGCATCACGAATCGGTTAAATGCAGCTATGACGTCAAACAAGCAAAAAAAAGATTGAAGGTTCTCCGAATATGTAAACTTTCAAGAACGTCTATTATTGATTAAAAAGAACTTCCACAATTGGAATATCTGTAAACATGAGAAAATATTTGTAGCATGTGGAAGTTGTGCAAGTTTTTCTTATTTACAGTGGTTTCGGAGTTATCGAAGAATGTCTTCGTGTTGACTCTCCCTACGTAAACAACAATTTCAGGCAAAAGCAGCGTGAATACTCGCTTTTCTCGCCCACCTACACTCGAGCGTCTGTTTTTTACACACGATGCGATTAATTTTAGCAACAAAATCACGAAAGATTTGGGAAAGTCGTTATGAGACGCGCATTTATCCAAACAGTTTCTTACTGTGTAACTGCCGGTTCCTTCGAGCTGGTGACCACTTCTACTTTGCTGGAGATTACCGGGGGAGCGCTCACGATTTCCACTTTGGTGATGATATTTTGACTCGAAATCGGTTTACTGGGAGACACCTTCACTACCTCCACTTTGCTCGAAATGGCCTTCGACACCACACTCGCTTTCGCTTCAATCACGTTAACTTGGGTCGAAGGGGCGGCCTTAACTTCAACCTTACTCGATAGGATTAAAGGCGGACTCGACTGTACTTGAACAACTGAAGAAATCTTCAGGGACTCCGGTGCTTTCTTTTCGGGATTTACTTGCGTCTTGCTCGGTTTTATTATAATCGTTTCTTTCTTAACGGCGGGAGTCGACGGCTTCGTATCGATCACCGTGTTCGACGACACCTCTTTTACTTCCTTCGGAGGCTCTGAAATTGCGGATCTCCCTCGGTTTTACCGTTAACCTAATAATAAAATTAAAATACCTGAAACTGCGGCACTTTGCGGCGAGAAAACCATGACAGTGTTTCCAATTGTAGTGGTAAAGTCGAGGAAGCCATAGACTGTTTGAGTGACGTAATTTCCCTGATTAACTGAGGAGGGCGAAACCGTGGAAGATACTTCGGGATTGACGAACACGGGACCCGCTGTTGATGAAACCAAATTTGCTGAAAGATAAGATACTTCCGTTTTAGAAATATTAGCGATGAGGATGAATCAGCTTTCGGCTGACGGATTTCAATATACTGGTTAAAACGTTCATTTTCCTTATCAATTATACGCGAACTTCCAGCTTTTCCGGGACTTTTCAATGTACGGATAACAGATTTTTGTCAAATCTAACTGTATTCATTTATGTATTATACCTATACGTATTTGGTGCCAGTGGAAGTTTAATTTATATTCAGTTCAATCCGATGTTTTTGAACTCTTCCCACATTGTTCTCAAATCCAATTAGTAGCTTTGAAGTTGTTTACACATTGTAACTATACTACTTGTTAATTAATCTACGTGGTTATACGTAACCTAATATTTTCAAAAACTTTTAATACAACCTTCCAATTGAAAGTTTAGCGTTTCACTGAAATTTCAAACCTTAAAATAGACCCTATTTTTTGTTTAAACCCAATTAGGTTGAATATCATATGGCCTACAGTCTTTTTTAGCGGATTTTTTTTTTCGAAATAACATAAAACGCATATCATTGCGTTCTAAAATTCTAACAACTAAGTTTGAATGTCTGTGCGTGGGATATGCAAAGAAAACAGGTGAATTTGCCTGGTGAGGGATTCGAACCCTCGAGCGCGTAGCGATCACCGCACTGTGTTACCACACGACTAACCAGGCTCATGATGAACAGAAGGAATGTATGGAAATAAATTAAGTAAATACGATAACGATTGTTGGTTGTCCAATTTGAGAGCGCAATATAGCAACGAAATAAATTAATTAAATACGGTAAGGGTATTGTTGGTTGCCTAGGTGTAGGATTCGAACCTACGCTCTTCGTAAGAACTAGAGCTTAAATCTAGCGCCATAAACCGCTCGGCCAAGCTATTTCCTCAACGAGAAAAAGTGTGGTTAGGGGATCAATGTAAAAAAAATGCCGGGTGTGGAATTCGAATCCACGAACATTTTAGGGTACCCAGAACAATTCTCAGCTGTCTTGCCTACAACTAACCACGTTTATGTTGAAGAGGAGAAACAGTAACTAAATAAATTAAATAAAATCAATAAGTAACACATACTAAGTTGGATAGTAATAAAATAATAAAGATAAAACTGATTTTGGCAATGACATCCCCTCTAAGAAAAGAGAGGGTGGGTGGGCGGGGCTAGTACCTGCTAGAATAAGACTGATTTTGGGAAACTAGATCTCTCTAAGAAAATAGAGCGCGGATGGGCGGGGCTAGTACCTGCTAAAATCAGTTTTATCTTAGCAACTACGAGCCCCGCGCACCCACCCTGTCTTTTCTTAGAGATTATGTCATTTGCCAAAAAAAGAAAAATTAAAAAATCTGGAAGTTGAAAAATCCGTTAATTGCAAAACAACAAATTGGAACTCGAAAAATTGAAAATTCCGAAAATTGGAAACTTTTACCTTGAAAAAAAAAACAAGAAAAATTATAAAATCAGAATATTGAAAAGCCGAAAATAAGGAAAAACAAGTGAAAAATTACAAATCGAAAAATTGAAGAAATGAAAAATTGAAAAATGGAAAATTTGAAAAATTAAAAACTAGTGAAATCGAAAATCAAAAATTGCAGATTCCAAATCATTCAAAAGTTAGAAAATTGAAAAACTGAAAAATTTAAAAATGAAAACTCCAAGTCGCAAACTTGAAGAAAAAAAAATGAAAAATTGAAAAATTGCAAATCCAAAAGTTGGAAACATTTAAAACGTAAAAATTGGAACAAATAATGAATCGAAAAATTAAGAAAAAGAAGTAACCAATCTACTCGAAAAACTGGAAAATCTAAAAATTGAAAAATCGAAAAAATGAAAAAGTTTTAAAATCCAATAAATGAAAAATGGAAAAATTCTAAAACCGTGAATTGAAAATTGATAAATTAAATAAAATTAATAAATAACACGTATATCAAGTTGGATAGTAATAAAGTAATAAAGACAAAACTGATTTTGGCAATGACATACCCTCTAAGAAAAGAGAGGGTGGGTGGGCAGGGCTAGTAGCTGCCAAGATAAGACTGACTTTGACAAATGAGGTACCTTTTAAAAAAGAGAGGGTGGGTGGGTGGGGCTAGTACCTGCCAGGATAAGACTGATTTTGGCAAATGAGATTTCTGTAAGAAAATAGACGGCTAATGGGCGTGGCTAGTCTCTTTTCTTACAAGGTATCTCATTTGCAAAATCGGTCTTATTTTACCAGGTACTAGCCCCGCCCACCCACCCTCTCTTTTCTTAGAGGGTATGTTATTTTCCAAAATCAATTTTATCTTAGCAGCTACTAGATAAAATAAGACAGATTTTGGCACATGACGTACCCTTTAAGAGAAAAGAGGGTGGGTGGGTGGGGCTAGTACCTGTTAGGATAAGACTGACTTTGCCAAATGAGAAACCCTCTAAGAGAACAGGGGGCGGGTGGGCGGTATTAGTAGCTGCTAAGATAAGACTGATTTTACCTAATGAGATGCCTTCTAAGAAAAGAGAGGGTGGGTGGGCGGGGCTAGTCCCTGCTAAAATCAGTTTTATCTTAGGAACTACCAGCCCCGCCCACCCACCCTCTACTTTCTTAGAGATTATGTCATTTTCCAAATCCAGTTTTATCCTAGCAGCTACTATCCCCAACCTCTCTTTTCTTACAAGGTATCTCATTTGCCAAAATCGGTCTTACTTTACCAGGTACTAGCCCCACCCACCCTCTCTTTTCTTAGAGGGTATGTTATTTTCCAAAGTCATTTTTATCTTAGCAGCTACTAGATTAAATAAGACAGATTTTGGGAAATGACGTATGTACCCTTTAAGAAAAAAGAGGGTGGGTGGCCGGGGCTAGTACCCATCAGGATAAGACTGACTTTGGCAAATGAGAAACCCTCTAATAGAGAACAGGGGGCGTGTGGGCGGTGTTAGTAGCTGCTAAGATAAGACTGATTTTGCCTAATGAGATGCCTTCTAAGAAAAGAGAGGGTGGGTGGGCGGGGCTAGTACCTGTTAAAATCAGTTTTATCTTAGCAGCTACTAGCCCCGCCCACCCACCCTCTCCTTTCTTAGAGATTATGTCATTTTCCAAATCCAGTTTTATCCTAGCAGCTACTATCCCCACCCTCTGTTTTCTTACAAGGTATCTCATTTGCCAAAATCGGTCTTATGTTAGCAGGTACTAGCCCCGCCCACCCATCCTCTCTTTTCTTAGAGGGTATGTTATTTTCCAAAATTAGTTTTATTTTAGCAGCTACTAGCTAAAATAAGACTGATTTTGGCAAATGACATACCTTTTAAGAAAAAAAAGGGCGGGTGGGCAGGGCTAGTACCGGTTCGGATAAGACTGATTTTGGCAAATGAGAAACCCTCTGACAGAAGAGGGGGCGGGTGGGCGGGGTTAGCAGTTGTTAAGATAAGACTGATTTTGCCTAATGAGATGCCTTCTAAGAGAGGACGCATGGGCGGGGCTAGTACCTGCTAAAATCAGTTTTATCTTAGCAGCTACTAGCCCCACCCACCCACCCTCTCTTTTCTTACAAGGTATCTCATTTGCCAAAATCGGTCTTATATTGGCAGGTACTAGCCCCGCCCACTCACCCTCTCGTTTCTTGGAGGGTACGTTATTTGCCAAATTCAGTTTTATCTTAGCAGCTACTAGATAAGATACGACTGATTTTGGCAAATAACATACCCTCTAAGAAAAGTGAGGGTGGGTGGGTGGGGCTAGTACCTGTTAAGACAAAACTGATTTTAGCAAATGATCTTTTCTCTAGAAAATGGAGTTAAATTATTATAAGAAAAGACGCTAAAGGCTCCAAAGCACTTCCAAATTCTTTCCAAACAGAAATACCTAGAACCTCAAGATAGTTTTAAATTTTCGAAAAAAAAACAGGGTCAAAATTAACTCAGAAACAGGTCAGATCAGAATTTTGAACACCAAAGTCCCCCAGAATTGTTTTAAATAATTTACAAAAAAAATCTCAATGGGCTCGTAAAGAAAAATACCAAAACTCAAAAGATATTTCTAAGTTCATCCAGCAACAAAACACCAGATTTCTTTAAATTTGACCGAAAATAAAACACCAGGGGAGCTAAAATTAAGTGCGAACATTTTAAGCGTAGGGATTTTGAATTTAGATGTCTCAGGGAAAACCTCAAGGCGGAGTCATAAGCCACAAGTAGAGGAGTATGTTATTTTCTTAAATTTAAATTCTCTTTACTACGAAGTGGGGATGATTAGACACATTTTGGTTAGCGTGTTATTATCTACATGATATCCAGTAGTTTCGGAGATAATATATATATATAATAAAAATCGGTACAGACAGACAGAGAGACGACAAATGACAGACAGGTAAACGGAAAACGGGAGACTTATTATTTTGCACACTTCAATAAAATTTGTGCGATATTTTAAGATATATCTAAAGTCTGTATAATAAAATCTCTAATTGGTGATAAAAGACGGACGACAGACAAACCTACTTTTTCAATATTCGTAAAAAATTAAATGTTAACTATTTTAATCCACTTTTAACCATCTACAAAAATCTATAACTGATTCCATCCATTATTCAAAATAGATACACTCTGTTCTTTTTCAAAGCGCTCACGTTCAATGAATTTATAGCGTAATTTTATTCCAGAAAATTCCTTTAGCTTTGATGCATCTACTTTACGCTAAACTCTAAAATATCTAGCTCAGTGAATAGTTCACTCACGGATTAACCCTTCAGCGAGTGCAAAAATTTGATTATTTCAATCTTGTTTGCAACAGTCGAGAATAAAAAACGCCATTTAACGAAGTTCATAATAATCGATTCGCTCGCTCTCCATTACTCCCAAAAATAAATACAAACATACTTTGAGTCCATTAATCCGGCGGAATTTTCGTCTCTTCAATTACTGACGCTTTTGATGCTTTCCAGTTTTAATGACTGCCATAAATTTAACTTACGGCTAGATTTCAGGTTGTGTCCTTAAATAGAAATAAATGACCACCTC